CCCACCACACACACACACACACACACACACACACACACTGTCTCTGTCTCTGTCTCTCTCACACACACACACACCTGAACTTAACTCTGTACCCTAGGCTCCACCTTGATGAGCACCTGCACAGCAAATGGCTGGGGCTGAGAAGCCCCTTGGGAACTGGAGCCAGTTGTTGTGGAGAGGGCTGTGTGTCTCTCCACAGTTTGTCTGTCTGTCTCTTTCCTGCTCCCTGCTTCCCCCCGTGTCTGTGGTGAAGACAGGACTGAACCTTCTGCCTGTGCGCATGTCCTTCAGAGGGCTCAGATGGAGATGAGCTTAGGCTGCCTCTCTCAGCTGTGCTCCAGCGGCTGGCTTTCCTCTTGTAGGAGGGACCCCAGCTGCCACTCTCTTCCTGCTCCTCCTTACTGTCTAGGTGCCTCTCTGCCCCCTCACTGCTTTCTGGTCCCTTCTCAGTGTGAGGCAGGAGTGAGCTGTCATCCTGTGCTTCTTCAGCCTGAGTTACCTGTTCCTGAAAAGCATTGGCTTGCTCCTCAAATCCTGCCGTTCGGAAATAGTTGACGACGTCCGTCACAGCCCAGTCTGCGGGATCGGGAGGCCTTCCATTTTCCATGGAACTGCAAAATACAAATCCAAGCTGTCAGAGGGTGGTACATATGCAGGTACGGACAGGTGCACGGCCTTGCCTCCCGGGGCTGGTCTGAGCCAGCTGACTGGGAGCCTGGTGCTCACTTCCCTCAGGGCGGATCCCAGCCTACCCACAGGACTCCTGATGGCTTCCTCTGTGTCTTAGTTTCTTGTGACCGTTACTCACGCTGAGGTAGTTAATGCTTTCTTAGTAAAGTATTTGACCTTTAATGAAAATGGTTCCCACAAATACTTTTTTTAAAAGCCAGAGACATGTAGAGTCATTTTTGGTGGGCTACAGCTTAATATTTCAACTGCAATTTCAGTATGAAAAGTCACTTTGCTATGTGATTCTAACATGTCTCTTCCAATTCGGAGAAAAGGCCATTTTCTCAGTGGAGCGTGTCTCCCTACTGCATTCTGCCCCAGCTCCTTTTGACACTCTCTCTACCTGATGCATCCTAAGCACTCCTAACAGCTCAAGGGTTGCCTCTGCTGTAAGGCACTTCATGGTACCACTAGGAAGTGCTTAAATTATAATCTGCTCCGAGACCCAATACTCCATTCAAATTACCATTGTAGCACCTTCCATACTGGGTTAAAGAGATGTGGGGCAAAGATACACGTGTGAGCTTGGGCTGATTCTCACTGTATTCTCGCTGTATTATTCCAAGTCACATGTAAACTTGGGCTGGTTCTCACTGTATTATTCCAAGTGTCGAGCATGTGCTTAAGGAAGTCAGTCAACATTGTTCAGCATGAATTACAGTGATTAGCAGATGACGATTAGGCATGTTTGAGAGGCTTGGGTAACCCTTCTCCCTTGGTTTAGAGAGGAGGGAGAGAAGTACTGTGGGGAAAGAAACGAAACGCTCTGCAGTTCCTGGGACTCTACCTCATTTCAGGAGCATCTTTCTAGACCAAAGCCAAGATAGTTCTCAGAAGAACCATCGGAGCATATTGTTTCTCTGATTAAATCCTTCAAAGACTTCCTGTTCCTGTGGCAAATTCCCATGAGCTTAACGGAAGTCCTTCAGGACAAAGGCCTCCTCCACTCTCCAACTAGAAACACATTTGTGAGCAAAAGATGCTGCAACTCTTACGTGCCCTCCAGTGCCTCAGAGTGGACACTGGTGGACAATGTACTGCAGATGTAAGCTGCCAGTTACACAGACAGCCAGGAAGGACAGCACACTGTACTGTGACATGGTAGCGAGGTCTAAAAGGCCATCAGAAGTTAATAAAGAAGTCAGGTTAAGATTATTCCAAGCTCTGTGGTAGGGATTCAGCCAGTTCTGAGGCCACAATGATTCCATACTTTTCCTAAAAGAAAGGGGAAGTTGGTAAGTGGCCTTATAGGAAGGGGGTGACCTAGGAGTATAGAAGAGGAACGAGAAGGGGAGAAAGGACGTGAATGAGCAACTTACTGCAGTGATCTCTGTAGAAATTGTGATCTCAGACTAGAGTAGTGACTGTGCAAAAGAAAGGACTCAGACCAGAATAGAAGCTGTAAAAAAAGAGAGGACCATGAAATAAAATACTCAATGGACAGAATCAGCCAGGCTCAGTGCTGGACTAGACACAGAGAATGAAGGGGTGGACAAGCCACAAAACTGAATGATGGTGGTATCTTCACTGAGACAGCACCTCTGCGCTTTTGTCATGAAAGTATTTAATGGGTCTAGAACTCAAAGCAGAGGAGGGAGCTGGAAGTCGTTGGGAGACAGAGATTTTGATGATAAGGGAAACCCCCATTGTGGTGAGAAGAAGAGTGTTCTGGAATCAGGCTTGGCAAGGTTCAACACTCAGTGCAAGTTGAAAAGATCTTTGCTGTAGTTAGAACAAAATGCCTAGACTTTAAGGGAGCCCAGTAGGTCTTCACACATCTGAAAGGCCAGAGTCTAGACATAGTGTTTCATTCAAAGCAAGAACCTAAACACTTAATTACAAACAAACAATAACTACTACAACAAACCAACTAACCAGCCAACCAAACAAGGAAGCCAATCAAATTCTATTCTAAAAGAAAAGGGAGCAGATGGCTGACCGATGGACATTCTCAGTGGTGCTTAATTTACAAACATTTAGACCAATGCCTACTAATTAGAACAGTTCCTTCCTGAATTTAACCTGAATCTGTAAGCTGTCTGTGCCTATGCCTTGGATTTTTCTATAGCTGTGAAAAAAACCACCATGACCAAAAGCAACATAGTGAAGAAAGGGGTTATTTGGCTTACACTTTTACACCACAGTCCATCATGAAAGGAAGTCAGGGCAGGACCTGATGCATTGCAGCGGGGTGGGGGGGGGGTGCTGGTTACTAGTTTGCTCCTGTAGTTTGTTTAGGTTTCTCTTTGTTTTCAGACCCCAGGACCACTTGCCTAGGGGTAGTGCCACTCACAATGGGCTGGGCCCTCTGACATCAATCACTAATCAAGAAAATGCCCACGGACTTGTCTCAATTGCTGCCACAAACGGACTAATCTCAATTGTTTTTCCCTCTTCTCAGATAACTCCAGCTTGTATCAAGTTGCCAAAACACAAAACAGAACAACAGCAAAGCAAACACAACAGCCTGAGTGTTTCGGCATGCATGCCTTCCTACCACTGAACAAGTGCTGTGTACTGAATGAAGGGACTCATTTTCACAGCACCAATCATACATTTTTCTACCACTGCTGATGGGGGTAATGATCCAGGTGCTGAGATTTTGTTATCCTGTAAAATAAACAACGACGAGATGACACCCAAGGAACCTCTTCAAGGCCCTGCTTTCTTTCCCTCTCTTGGTTATGATAGGTTGAAGAATATTTCTTCACAGGTTTGCTAATCTAACAAGTCTGTTAGGCTTCTAATAGCCTCATTTCTTGTGGTGATATTTTGTTTGTGCTTTAACAAATAAAGCTTGCCTGAAGAGTTGAGAAGAAGAGCAACTAGCCACTAGTTCTTACCACTATTGAATCCTCAGACAAAGGGATGATCCTGTCCCTACAAATCCTCCAAGGACAGAATTCAGTGAGCTGCTGTCTCTTCCTACCTTATATTCCTCTCCGTGCCCAGCCCTACCACTCCTATCTCCTAGTGCTGTGATTAAAGGCATGTGACTCCCAAGTACTGGGATTGAAGGTGGGAGCCACCACTGCCTGGCTGTTTCTCTTTTAGACTGAATCAATCTCATGTAGCCCAGGGTGGCCTTGAACTCACAGAATCCACCTGACTCTGCCTCCCTGGTGCTGGGATTAAAGGTATGTGCCATTACTGCCTGGCTTCTATGGCTAACTAGTGACTAGCTCCACACTCTAATCTTCAGGCAAGTTTTATTTGTTAGAACACAAACAAAATATCACCACAACTTCTAGCAACAAGCAAAGTCCCATTGAACAGACTTTTAAATGCCTGGAAAAAAAAAAAAAACCTGAGTTCACATGTCCTATGGTTGGCTTTGGTTGGCCACTAGTCCTCACAAAGAATAGGTATTTGATTGTGATATGTGAGGCTCCCTGGATTCCTATTGGGTTGTTGTAACATCATCACTTCCATGATTCTGAAATGCTTCTGACTACTAGAAAATCTGTAGAAAAAAAAAAAGGTTAGTAAAACTGCTGCTGGTGAGCCTTAAGTATTGAGGAAAAATGACAAACTCACTTTCCCACCGGCAAGATAAAAGGGGTTAGTAAGCAATCAGTATTCACTAATTATCTGTCTAGTTTAAGTCTGAAAAGCCTGGGATGATTTAGAAAAATGTAACAATACAGGACTCTTGATCTCCTGGGAAGAAAGGCCTCTTTAACTTCATCATGGTTGTTCACCATCATCACAGGTTTGGGTGGACACACAAAAGCTTGCTGGGTGACATGGACTAAAATCAGAGTATGATACACTTTTCATAGATCACAAAATGTCAGTCTTCCACCCCATCTGAACTGGAAACTTCCACCCACTTTTGGGAAAACAAAGCTCAGAACAGGGAAGGAACTCACCCCAAATAAAGCTCATTCCATCCATTCTTTAATATGAACCTATGCTCTTTCTATTACACTTATTGTTCACATAACTCTTGGCTGACAGCTATGGTCTTCTCAGTATTGCCCTAGATGCAGGGAGAAGGGACAGAGAATGCCCAGTTTCTGCTCCTGGGGAGGTTCCAATCATGTGAGGTAAACAGAGTTAAAAACAGCCAAGTAATACTGGAACAGAGGGGTAAGCCCAGTGCTAATTAGGATGTATGCAATAGAGAGCCTACTTAGCTGTCTGACTTGAACAGTTGAAGGCTGGCAATTTTAAAAGGCATTTGTAACTCCAAACTCTCATTTTTAAGCCAGGCCTCCAAAGAGGGATGAGTTTGCTGGGCCCTGCCAGTGACATCAGCAACAGTTTTACAGGCAGTACTGCATGGTTCAAGGTTAACAGTAAAAGGATATGGAGAAGCAAGATTCAAGACCAAATAGTGTCGGACACTGGGTATGTTTGGAGGCTGAATTTACATGGCTATTTGTTTGCTGGGAAAGTATTATGCCTGCTTCAATGACTTTTTTTGTTGCCAATCTTAAGATATTCAACTTTATTCCATTATAAATAACCATTCTTTTCAAATATTATCACAAGCACACATCAGATTTCAGAAGAAATTTAAATGGTACAGTTCAAGACACTTCTGAGATGGTGGCTCCATTGTGGTGTTAAGTTTTGTGTTGATAAAATGAGACAGCAAACAGATGTGTCATGGTCCCTGTGACACTATTTACTGTCACAGAGGAGCCTTTCTTTGAAAATGCATATGAACTTGGTAAATTTATGAGTATTTTATAGGCATGATGTCTCCCAAAAGTATATGTATATTATGCTTTATTCAAAATATTATCAAGAAAATAAGGGGCAGAATTCGTCTTCAATTTTCTTTATCAAGTCAATATTTCCATCTAACCATTTAGCACACAGGCATATAGTTAGAAACTATACCATGTACCAATAAAGACCATATCACGA